GGCTCCTTGGGAAGTTAGCCCGCGCCGTGGGACCGAGGTAACGGGCTGGCTGGGACCGTTTGGCAGCTGTCAGGGCGTCCTCCTGAGTCAGAATCCGACCATCCTGCCGCAGACGTTGCGCCCGGCTCGGTTTCCGCCCTCTGCCGCCGACTTCCTCATTCACCCTCCGCCCCCGGTCGGGCCGAGGCAGGGGCGGGGAGAGGTGCAGTGGGTGCCGGGGAGAGGGACCTGACGGCGGCCACCGGGCTGAGAGGCTGGAAAGACCAGCCCTCCTCCAGCTCCTCGGCCTTTGGGTTCTATTGCCCTGGGGAGAAGGGCCCGGCGTGCTGGCCGCGGTCGGGCTGCCCAGGCGTGCACCTGATCCCACAGCCATCCCGCCTCGCCCGGGGGAGGGACCGGAGGGTGGGAGGTGGCCCAGTCTTCAGGACCGGTCTTGGACTTCTGCATCTTTCCACTTTGGGCCAGATGTGGGGGTCCTCCGCCAACCCCTGTCCTCTGGCGGGGGTCCTCACCCCAGCCCGTCCTGACCACGCCTAGGGCAGGACTGCAGCCCCTCGTCCCCGTCCATCCCTGGAAGGGACAGGGGCAGTTTCAAAACGGAAGCGGAGCGTGTCTCCTCCAGGCCGGGCTTGCTGGCTGTCCGGAACATGGGACACTGTAAGTGCCTGCAGCCCCACCCCGCGGTGCTGGGAGAAGGTTCCTGGGAAGTCCCAGGTTTTTGGACACAGGCATCTCCCTCCGCTGGGCAATTGAGAGGCCCGCGGCCACTTCTCGGTTCACTGCGCTCTTTTCTGTGTTTAACAGGGTTTCACAGTAACCGTTGAGTAACTTTTGAAGGGGAAGAGAGTCTTAGCTCCTCCTGCGTTGCAACACAGTGATAATTTCTGACTTCACTCTCATAGTGTGGGCTTGATAACTTCACCTGATGGTTTATTCTCATTTCGGTGAGGAGGAAGCCTCCGTGTAAGGCCTGTTTGGACAATCACTCAATTAATATAGTCAATTTATACGGAAGGGTGCTATGGGTGGGGGGAGGGTAACAGATGTGTAATTGAGCAAATATTTAACTGGCTTGTCTGTGCCAGGGACTTTACCAGGTGGTGTGTGTTTGTGTGTGTTGGGGGAGTGAGGTTGAGTAATACCTGGCCCCTGCCTTGGGCACATAGGGGAGAGCTGAGACAAATCTGTAGATGACTCCAGTCTGAGGTGGAGATGACAGGGACCTCAGAAAAGTACTGTGAATCATAGGACTGGGAGAAAGGAGCCAGCCTAGTTTGTGCGATCCGCAGGTCTCCTGGAGGAGGCCTCTGTCCTTAGGAAGTTGCAGTCTGCAAGGAGAAACAGTGACAGTGACTTCAGTACAAAGGCATCCTGTGATATGTGTCCCAGGCATGTCACAGACAAAGGACTGGAATTTCAAGGCTGTTGAAATCCCTACCGTTGAGGCAAGGAGAGGAGCTGCCAGCAGAAAGAAAGGAGCGCATTGCAGGTTTGGCAAACTGAGGCAGGCACGTGGTGTGGAAAGTGAGGAGTCACTTAATGCATAATTGGGGGGTAATTAAAAATGTTGAGATTGCTCCTTGTAATTTGAGAGCTGTTGTGCCCCCATATGGCTGTGGGTGACACGGAAGAGTTTGGCTCTTCACATGCAGCAAGTCCTAGCAATGCAGGTGGGCAGATCCAGAGATAGCTGCCCTTGGAGCCAGCATTGGCAGGTTCCAGGTTCTCTGGGTGGAGTTACCCAGTCCTGGGGAAAGGTCTTCCTGAGAGGTGTAGCCTGTGGGGCTGATGTCTGGAGGGCACAGGAGGGCAGAGGAAGGAGAGGGCTGGGCTCTGGATTTCTTGTTTTTAATTTAAAAATTTTTTAACCTAAGGGGTCGGAGATGGGAGAACTTCTCTCTTGCAGGATGAAAGACACATGTTAATCACAGCTTGGCTTTGGCCTGCTCTTGCTCCAGAAAAAACAACAAGGATCTGTTAGCTCTTAAAAGGAAGAAAAGCACACTCAAAAACTGCAGCATTGTTGTGTAGCCTGGTTAGGGTATTACTAGAAACCAGGCTGCCTGAGCTGTCTTCACTTCCTCTTCTAGCTAATCCTTCAATAAAGTACTTAAGACAGCCCCTACCAGCTTGACATCTTTATTTCAAAAGGAGAGGAGGGGTTGGCTGCTGTTTTCCTCTGAGCCTTGGCTCTACCCTTCTCTTGGAGGGGGAGAAAGAGAAACCCAAAGCAAAGGGGGAAAAAAAAATTCCATGCCTTGACAGCTTCCTCCCAAGCATCATGTTCCAAAAATATTTAGAATAACAAAATCTGTGTGTCCTCTTAATTAAACAAATGTCCTAATTTACCGAGCACAAAACAGCATCTCTGCCTGCGGGGGCAGGAAGAGCATTTTCCCTTTGTGCAGCCCCAGAGAGTCACTGCCTCTCACTTTAACCCTTGGTGTGCTGAGCCCTGGCTCAAGTGTTCTGGTGACAACAGAATGGAGTTCCTGGCTGCCCCTCTGGGCAACGGTGCTCCTGTGGCTTACGGAATGCAGTTGTTAGAATTGGGCAGTATAGGGTCACAGAAAGAATGAGCTTTGGAGATAGGCAGCGTTCAAATGCTGAATTTAGACGTCTATTAGCTTTATGACCTCAGGTGATTCACAGAGCCTCCCTTAGCCTCAGTTTCCACATCTGTACTACGGAAATCATGATAACTTTACCCTGCAGGTTAGATGTGAAAACTAAAAGGAATAAAGAGTGTAAAGGCCCTGATAAATAGTGGCTGTATAAGTTTAAAAGAGTATAGCATAGTCTTATCTCCCTGGGTGGTCAGGTGAGGGCAGATAGCAGACTATCAGTAGCTTCTAGGGTAGCTTAATGTGCTTTCTACCTCTAAGAAGGCGTGTGTGTGAGTTATGAAGCTTCTCTGCTGATGCTTTTGGGTGCTTGTGCTGCATAACTGTTGTGGGGTCCTACCCTGGGTGCTCAGACTGACTGTGGTTTTAGTTCTAAGACATGGTTTCCCGTGGTCTAAGTGATAGGCAAGAGTGATGTAGAATGGAACACGTGACCCGTGAGACCTGGCTCCCAGCTCTGGCTCTGGTTGAAGGTATATGTTTGATTTTGTTAGGAAATGTCATATTCCCTATGAAGTCATTCTACCAGATTATAAAGACTGTCCAGAAAATTGAAAAATTGAGTAATTTAAATTTCTCCAAAAATGCTGGTGTTTTTAAGGCACTGTACTACCTTATTGATGGGAGTTTATATTGCACAGCTCTTTTAGAAGATAGTATGGCAGTGTCTATCAAAACATAGTCCTCACTGCATTCTAGGAATTTATCCTACAGATAAACTTGAGTGTGCAAAAGGAAATGCCTGAGAATATTCACTGCAGCTTTGTCAGAGAAAAACACAGGAAACAAGCTAGCTGTCTATTAGAAGGGTCAAATTAATCATGGTGCAGCTGTACTGTGGAAATCCTTGCAGGCCCTCTTGTCCCCCTCAAAAAAGAGGCTGATCTGTATGTATCGATAGGACATGCTCTCCAAGATAGATTGTAAATTTAAAAAATTAGATGCAAAGGCATGTGTATGGTGCTCCCTTTTGTGTAAAAGCTGGTACATGTCCTCCCTGCTTCTATGGATAGATCTGGGAGGACACTGAGACCCTGCTTGTAGTGACTTGGGTAGAGACAGCTGCCAAAGGTAGTCCCCACTGGCTGCCTCTTGGAGGAGTGGAAGTGAGCATTATTTTTTCACTAGATACCACTGTATATGGTTTGTCCTTAGAGAATCAGAAATTGAGTTATTTATTTTTTTCTTAGTGATTAAAGGGACAGCCGGTCTATCTTACAGGTGTCTAGATTCCAAATTTTATATTAAATGCTGAGCATGTGCAAGGAGGGTTGAAGGGTCTTAAAACAGACTGCCCTGCTCTTTGTGCTTGAAACAGTTTGGGAACTGTTTCATTCTTCCGTGATCACTAGACAGACAAATGTCTACTCTGATCCACTCCCCATATTCTGGGAAGTGCTGGATAATTACTTTTCTGTGCCCTGTGAGAAGGGAAAGGCTGCACTGCTTCTGCTGAGTATTTCAGGATGCCCTTTGGCTGGGGTTCCCACACTCCGCTGGCTCTAAATTATGTGCCTTGCCATCCAGGGAATCCCACCTGGGCTAGAAGGCGAAACTAGACTCTCACTTGGGTCCTCTTGTTTAACTTCAGGTCATTGCAGCCAGTGTTGATCCTCTTTCGGCTCCATGCCCGTTTCTCTTTCCATCTGGCCTGTAGGTTTTACATATTAACTGTGGGAAAGTTCAAATTCTTAAGAAAATGTGATGGAAGGGTTGAGGTAGAGGACCCCGATGTTCTCAAGGAACCTCGGATGGCGTGGCTACTGGAGAAGCTGCCTCTCTGCCCACAGCTCAGCTTCCCTAGCAAAGCCTGCAGAAGGGACGCACCAGGGTCCCCAGCAGTTTGTGCTCCCTCCGAGGTGACAGCCTGAGGAATGGCATGAGTCACACGGGGCATCCACAGTGAGCCCAGCTCTAAAATGGGTCTGCCACCACACAGGCCTGTGACAAGCATCTGCTCCCCACCCGACCTGTATGGAGCAAGAGGGGAGCTGCCCACTTGGGCCTGAAAGCGAGGCGGGCTTTAGCCAGGCCTCATTTGGCGACTAATTTCTCAGGCCTGAGGTCCTTCAGTGCTTGGGCAGGTGGGTCCAGAGAAGGCTCCTGGCTGGCCCCAGCCAAGGCGGAGGCCAGGTGGGAGTACCCACATGAGCTGTCTTCACCAGCCTGGATGCCCAGGCTGCCAGAAGGAAGTAACCACTGAAGGGTGTGGCTTCCTGTGGGGCAGGTTGGGTAGAGGCCTAGAGAGAGGCTGGAGGTAACTGCTCCTCCCCCACCCTCCAGGCACTTCCTTGTGGCCTCTCAGAGGACCTTGAGGTCCTTAGGTCCCTTGCAGAGGAATCGGGTCCTCCCGGGAGTTCCCTCCTGCTCCCGTGGGCCAGCAAGATGTCTCTCTGTATAATGGTTAATGTGTTGATTTCTTTCCTTTATCATCATTATTATTATTATTATTTTGATTTCTTTCTTTTAGAAGGTTGTCACATGGTCATGAGGTTATTACATTTTGGAAACTTAAGCCTATGTTTTCTTTTTTCTTTAATTTTAATTTTTTTTTTTTTGGTTTTTTGAGACAGGGTCTCACTGTAGTTGAGACTGACCTGGAACTCACTATGTAGCCCAGGCTGGTCTCGAACTCACAGCTATCCTCCCGCCTCAGCCTCCCAGGTGCTGGGATTACAGGCACGCACCACCATGCCCGGCTCTTTCATTTTAATTTTAATTTGAAATGATGCTGTGCTTAAAAGAAAAATTCTCCACAACAATGATAAAATTCATCCCATCTGAATTTACTTAAAATTGTAGAATGTCTGAACTGGAGGGTTCTTGGGTATAATTTTGAAATATTAAAAAAATTTTTTTTCTCATTTAGAGGAGCAATTTGCCCAAGTTCATTCTGTAAGTTCGTGCAAAATGTTGGCTCCTGGTTTCACTCAGCCTTTCTTTCCAAACCAGGAGGCCCTATTTAAGTGTTTTTAAACAGTTACCATCCCTTTCTTTGTCTTCATGCACAATTTAGCCACACAACACATACTCACCTTCTTTCATCTTTCCTGGGAAGTCTTCCACTTCCTTAATCTTTTCCTTTGGGAGGGCACTAGGTTAAAAGCGGGAAGGTGTTTGGGTTTCCCTGAACTTCCCCTTGGGCAGTGCCCTTGGGCTGGATGTTCTTGCAGTTCAAAAATATCACTATTTCACATGGTATGGCACTGGGCAGCAGGGCGGGGCTCTTCAGAAAGCCACACTGGCTTCTGTACTGTCCTTCATCCTGTCCGGATTTCTAGTAACAACTCATCTAGCGTCTCAGGTCATCAGGCTAGCATATTTTCGATATAAAGCTTATGGTAAAGGAAACAAGAGTTTGGGATCAGGCCGAACGGGGTGGGCCCTCACCTTTCCTCGTGCTGTTAGCCTCAGTGTCTCCATCTCCCCCATTCCCGTGCAGTTAGACTGAGTCACTCAAACTGTCCCAATGCCAAGTTCTTTATGCTCATGGGACCTGGACATGTCTATACTCTGAGGACTGTACGTGGATGTGAAATGGCCCAGTTCTTGTATTCTCCCCATTTTTCTTCATATTATTTCTGTGTAGAAGCTTTTTTTTTTATTATTATTTTTTTTATTTTTGGTACTGGGACTTGAACTTGGGACTTTGTGCTTGTGAAGCAGGCAGTGGCACCACTGAGCTAAATCCCCAGCCTCTTTTCTTCATATTATTGCCTACATCATTTATTCTCAGGTGGCAGAAATATGTATTCAAGTTTTAAAGATTTTTTTGGGGAGGGGGGTACCGGAGATTGAACTCGGGTCCTTGAACTTGCAAGGCAGGCCACCGAACTGCTGAGCTAAATCTCCAGCTCTCAGATTTTAAAGATTTTAAACCTGTCCAGTAAAGCTGTCCCTTGGTAATAAGGCGTGGTGGCCAAGGTGACGGGGGACCTGCCCTGGGCATTGATCCTGGGGTTTCAGAAGCCAGAAGCTTGTGTACCCTCCCCACGATATAAGTTCACTTGTTAGGCTGAGCTGAGCTAGTTAAAGCATCAAGAAACAGTGGTTGTGAAGCAGTAGAGGCAGCTTTATTTAGGATTGTCTGCGTTCAAAAGTGGCAGTGTTTCCTGTGTTTTACATGAAGTCACTGGGCTGGAGAAGGCAGCTTCCTGTCTGATAGACATAAAGAATGAGGCACTTGGAACAGTTTGGGTGACTTAATCTAACTGCACCAGAATGGGGGAGATGCTAGAGCTCCACTGGGCTGTGAGGGCCTGCAGATCAAAGTGGGGTCCCTTTCCACTCTCCTGCTTCCAGCCCAGCACCTGGCACCGAGCCTGCCCGGAGGCCTTGCTGTGTGAATGGGCATGAAGTCTCCCTGGTGCCTTTGCTTCTAAACTGTTGGACTGGAGGCCCAGGTGGCCGCAGCATTTGGATACCATTTTATAAAACTGATGTTATATAGTTGCCTGGGAATCTAGGGTAAGAAAGATGGTGGTTGGGAGGCATTTGAAGTGTTTATTTCATTTAAAAATATTGTTTTACTACTTTTTTCCTCATATTTTTCCTCA